CACACACACACACACACACACACACACACACACGCTCGCACAAACTCACACACACACACACAAACACAATCACACTCAATCAATCAATCAATCAATCAACCAAACCTTTTTTTTATTTTTTTTTAAAAATTTTGCATCTGCATTTTTTTTAAACACCTCATTTCCTTGCAAAAGAACAAAAATGCAATTCTAAAAAAAATACAGGTGTACTCAGGGACCATATATCTCATGATAAAAAATGGGAAAAAAAAAATTCTGCTTTTCTTTATATATTTCTTTTAATTTTGTTTAAATCGATTTTAGTTTTTGATTTTTAAAAAATCTTAAACAAAATCTGATTCAAAAAATATATATATAGGAGTGTAGGGTTTTTCAAGCCCTACACCCCCATATTTTGTTTTTACGTATTTTTTGGGGGTGGGGGGGAAATATTGAAAAACCAGGCCGCGGACTGGGCCTCATCGGCCGCGGTCGCGGTCGCGGCCGAGAAGCTCGGCTGCAGCGGCCGAAATGCCCGCGGCCGAGGCCGCGGGTGTCACATAGAATGGAGGAGTGTTCTCACCTTGCTTCGTATGACTAAGGTGAATAAAAGTTATCGTCGGAAAAACTCGATCGACAAGTTGTGTACTTTAGATCATTACGATTGTCGGACTAATGATGAATGATTGAGACCAACCTTTGCGACTAATTGGATTGCCATGTGGACTGACGGCCTCAACCCGACTGGGCATCGGCCTCCCGTATCCCCGCCACGTCCCTTCCCGTACAACGAAAAGAGGGTATGGGTATGCGAGCGAGAACCCATTGCCAAGATCGGCGGCCGATACTATTTCCCTCCCGAAACTCGGTGCTCGGGGTTCGTTGGCGCTGGTTTTGTCATTGTTGATACGCATTTTCCGCCTTATTCGCTGCTATTGCCGTTTAATGAGTTGATCGTCATTCCGTGGACGACAGTGGCACCCCATTGGGCCATGATTGGCCTAACACTCTGTGCAGCGATTGTTGTTGCTTCGAGCGTTACCAATCAAAAGGCTTTCACTACCGAGTACGGAGTGAGGACGAACATAAGGAAAGAGTCACGCGGCTGAGACCCTCCACGTCGGATTCTGAGTTATGCAATGAGCGGCGTCGGGATTTGATCCGAAAACGGGACACCAAGTACGTACCCGCCCCCTTTCACGCGAAGCGAAGAGCAACGGCCCAATGGGAAGTTCAACGATACTTTTTGGATTGAACTTCCCCGCGTTGTGCGCCCCACGTGCGCCTTTTTCTCCCTCAAAACCCGCGCAGTGACGGATCCTCCCCCTTCTTACTAAGTCGGACTGGCACAGGGGATTTCGGTTTTGTCCATGTCCCCGCACTCAACTTTCCAAAATCCTTGGCACACCCCATCTCGCTGTCTTTCTGGGGCCCCTTCCGCAATTTAAACACTCCAAACGAAAGATAGCGCAGGGCGTGAGGTTGAGCGTCACATGGTCCCTGATGCTACCGGCTCTCCCCTAGCCGGTATCGTTCACCTGCAGGTCGGGAGCAGCCCCCTCATGTTCTCTCGTGAACACAGTGCTGGCTGCTACGGGGTTCCCCATATGCCTACAATTAGGAGTAGTGGTAGGAGGAGAAAGACAAGCAATGGCTGATTGCTCTTCACACGCAATTCACAAGATATTACAATC